CCCTTCTCTCCCACCATCAATTCATTGACGATCTTCTCCACCTCCTCTCCCATTCATGACATTCACTATCTTATTTCCAAAGATTGGAACCTAGAGATGCCAAGTGATTCTGTGGACTTTGATTCAAAAATGAAGGGAAAAGGGCCAATGGTGTAAAGGGGACTTTGAGCACATAGTTGAATATGCCATGCATGGTGATGCACGGGTTTGATGAAGGTGAGGCTAGCTCCACCGTGGGTTACATGGGATCGAGATGGGTGATTTCATGGTGAACAAGTACTCTTGACGGTACGTAGTGTTGCAAACAAGGTAGTGGGAATGGGTCATCGGTTCGATCTATCTTTGTATCACAGGACAGGAGTGAGGTTGGTCAGATCTATGGTGGTTTGGGTACGTTAAGGTACAAGATGATGCTGATTATGTGGTCAGTAATTAGTCGCTGGCAATCAAGCTTAAAAGGAGAAAATGGTGGGCTTTGTGTAATGGTGTACAAGCTGAGTTTCTTCTCTTCATGAGTTCCATTTATTGTGTAATATACTTTAAATTTAAGTATTTTTTTACATGTTGCTGATGATAAAATAATATTTTTTAATTGCAGTCATCACCCATGTTGTAATTTCATCAATAGTTATACCGGATACGACGACATAATATTTTGATAAGTTAATTTTAAATTTTTTAGATTTGAACACGTTAAGACACGTTTTGATATTAAATAATATTTTTAATTTATATTATGGGAAAAGTATTTCTCCAGTCACCATAAATAAAGTAATCTCCAGTGAGCTCAAAATGACGTTGTTTTGGACTATAAGATTAAAAATTATAACAATAAAGACTAATATAATTTTACCATATATTATAGGGAAAAAAGTATCTGATGTTACTTTAGATAACTTTGTTTAATGTTCATCGAAACGACGTCGTTTTGGGGTTGAAAAATTAAAAAATTAGAATGATAAAGACTATTATATCCCTGAAATAAATTAAAATTACAAAACAACCATGATTTTCGTCCTAAAACGACGTCATTTTGGTGAACATTAGATAAAGTTATCTAAAGTAACTTTAGAAAAAACAAACCCTATATTATAATTACAAAAACAACTTGATTTCTGCCCCAAAATGACGTCATTTTAAGCTTACTGGAGATGACTTTACCTCCGGTGTGGAGAAATTATTTACCCTTATATTATATTTAATATTCAATAATTTAACAAAAGAATGAAACTTTTGCAAAAAAATATAAGATGTAAATACTTACTATTCTATTTTTAAATTGAAAATAGTGAGATTTATTCGATATTCATTTTAAAATTTTATTATATCAGTTTGGTAAAACATCGATAATTCTTTTTATAATATGTAGTGTAATTTCAAAAATTATAGATGTCGAAGAGTAACGGAAAGTGTTAAACATAATACATCAAGTTTTTTAAAATATTGGTGCAAACATAGGTCACCACGCTCGTATAATGCTTCAGCATCAATATTGCTTAATACCAACAATTATATTGTTATAAGAGTTGTCTGCTATGTTTTCCTTAATTTCATTAAAAGATAATGTTATTTGAATTAATTTAATAGATATAAAAGTATAAAATATGTTATAAAGATAAAGAAGAAATAAATTTACCTCAAATCATTTGAGATAACTTTATGTTCGGTCACTAACCGTATGGTACAAAATAGATTATTAGTGATAAAGAAAAATAGAAAAATAAAATCATTATCGTTCAAAGATGAATAAATTAATATAAGAAAATAAATAAACAAAACGACGTAATTTTAAGTGACAGGAGATAAAGATATAACAACAAAAAGTATTTCCGATTTTATAGGAATGGGTGGCGGAATTAGGGCTGCCATGTAATAAAATAATGGCCTTTCATCCTAAGTTTCAATACGTCTTATGTAATTTTCTTCTTATTTTATATAAATATTAGCAGATATGATATTATATCTATTATAATTATTTTTTGTCTACTCTACCTATTTTTCACTAGTATCGCTAAATCATAATTTCAAGAGTAGAGAAAAAAAGTAAAAGTTAGCTGAGATAACTAATTAAGTAGGTCCAGAATATGCATGAAAAAAAAATAGGCACAAGATTTATTCGATCAAATATTAAATTTTATTTAAGATAAATAAATAATAAAATAATTATTATTTTAAGATTTATATTAAATTAATTAAATCAAATAATAATTAACACGTAAATAATTCGCATTTGCCTAGCATGATGTTTGAAAATTCTTAAATTTTTAAATATTTTAAATTTATTGTTACGAATAACAGACTGTTGATTATTTTTTTCCATAATTACTGGTGACCTATTTTTGTGCAATATATGATTCTGAACTTTTTGTTAACAATTAATCAATATAACTTGTTATTTTGAGAGAACAGGTTAGGTCTGTGTTCTAATTGAAAAAAAAAATATAAAGAAATAAAATTGATCATTTAATTCCTTAGACTGAGGCAAACACGATAGAAAAAAATTAAAATTAAATTATCATTATTGAAAATGAATTTGGCATTTTCAAATTGACAGAGAGTCGGAAAGATTGCGGAGAATTGTTTTCATTTTAATAATTACTTTTCTCTGAATAAATTTAATTCCAATTTTTAAAATAACAATAGTTATGTTATTTATTATTTTAGTTATAAAATATTAATTTTTATTTATGATACTAATTATTATCTGCATATAGTGAAGCGATAGTTATATTTACTGCCTATCCAAAAAATTAATAATATAATAATTAATCAATAAGACAAAAATAATGTATTATAATTTTAACATTAGATCAAAAAACTAGATTCAAATATGATGAAATTAATTTTATTTTTAGTCAATCTCCTTCTTTTTCTTTGATACATTTTTTGAGTCAATCTCAAATTGATTTGACACCTATCTAAACTTTAATATAGTAAACAAAAAAATAAGATAAGATAACAAGAAAAGAATTAGGATTTGAAGATTAGATGCAAAGTAAATTTAAATATGATAAAATTTTATTTATTTTCTAATCAATCTTGATATCAATCTAAATATAAATATCTACGCATAATAAATAAAATTGATTTTATTTTGGAATCAACCCAATTCATTTGACTATATTATCTATATTATGTTATATTATATTATTATTTATATAGTAATTTATATATTGTGGATATCTTTATTCAAATGTATATATACTTATTTTTTTCATGAATTTTAAAATGCATATAATTTTATCTCTCATAAACAATCTTGACACGGTCATTGCAAATAATATAATATTTTATTGGAGTTTCTTTGCCCTTTCCCTTTATAGACAATGAAAGTGTCCCTTCATTTCGACTAGTCGTGAAATCCATCTCTTTGACAGTTTGACGTATCATATTTGGGTAGTAGGTCCAGAATATGCATGAAATTTATTGTTTTAAAATTAGACAAGAAATTGATTTGAATAATGTATCATATTAACAAGAAATTTACTGCCTATCCAAAAAATTAATAATATAATAATTAATCAATAAGACAAAAATAATGTATTATAATTTTAAAATTAGATAAAGAAAACTAGATTCAAATATGATGAAATTAATTTTATTTTTAATCAATCTCCTTCTTCTTTTTCTTTGATACATTTTTTGAGTCAATCTCAAATTGATTTGAATCTAAACTTTAATATAGTAAACAAAAAAAATAAGATAAGATAACAAGAAAAGAATTAGGATTTGAAGATTAGATGCAAAGTAAATTTAAATATGACAAAATTTTATTTATTTTCTAATCAATCTTGATATCAATCTAAATATAAATATCTACACATAATAAATAAAATTGATTTTATTTTGGAATCAACCCAATTCATTTGACTATTTTATCTATATTATGTTATATTATATTATTATTTAAATAGTACTTTATATATTGTGGATATCTTTATTCAAATGTATATATACTTATTTTTTTTCATGAATTTTAAAATGCATATAATTTTATCTCTCATAAACAATCTTGACACGGTCATTGCAAATAATATAATATTTTATATTTTTTTTTTATCATGAAATCCATCTCTTTGACGTATCATATTTGGGTTGTATGTTGGATTATAAATGGTAACTAACCTATAACATGACAATCAATCCCAAATCAAGATAAAATGAATCAACAACAAAAAATTAAAAATTAAAAAGAATCCGCTGCTGATAAGGAAAGATTAGCATGTTGGATTTATTTTTTATTTTAGTTTTCAAAATACATTAAAAAAATCCCAAATTACTCACGTAACCTAATATATAGCTAAAGGTGGCAATATGGGTTGAACCCGACGGGTCAACCCGCCAACCCACCAAAACGGAGCGGGTTGGGTTACATTTTTCAACCCACCAACCCACCTCAACCCGCCCCGTTTAGTAGTGGGTCAAAATGGGTTGGTGGCGGGTCGGGTCGGGTTGGCCCGCAGGTTTTTTTTTTTTTTACTATTAGGTAGTATTTTATTTGTCACCAAACTTTTGTGATATACATTTTTTTTTAGTACTACCCTAGAAAAATAAAGAAAAAAAACTTTACTTATGACAAAGATTATCCATATATAGAGGCAAAATTAAGTTTCTAAAAAATATCTGACTGAATATTAACGTATATTTAGACTTGAGATTGAAAAAAAATAAGAGAAATATTAAATAAAAAATAAGTAATATTATAAAATTAATAAAATATAATTTATTATTAATTTTTAATTATTTTTTGTTTTCTATGCAGGTTGACACGCCAACCCACCTCAAAACGAGGTGGGTTGATGTTTCTAACCCAGCATCAACGGTGGGTCAACCTGCCCTGCCCCGCTTTTGGCGGGTTGAAGGCGGATCAGGGCTGCTCGGAACGGGTTAGCCCGTTTTGCCACCTCTATATATAGCAGTAGTGTTAGTGTGTGACTTTGTTTTGCCTCCTCTTTACTCACATATCTATTTGTTTCACAGTTTGGACCAATTGCAAGAGAATGGCGAGAGATTTAGATGAAGATTTGGAGTTAGAGATATTGGTGAGGCTGCCACCAAAATCATTGATGCGATTCAAGTGCGTTCAACGATCATGGAATGCACTTTTTAGAAATCATAGATTCGTGATGAGTCACATGAATATGCTCATGTCAAAAGAGCATCTTATGGTGTTTGAATTTTATGGCCACGCATCACTAACATGCGATGACCCATCACAACCACCTCTGTATCTCAATTGCTCTTCCCCCAACAAAAGCTTCAATTTTCATTGGTCATGCGGTTCTTCTTGCAACGGTGTTTTTTGTCTTGGCGTGTTCGACGAACACGATGATTATCGGTTAATTTTGTGGAATCCTAATACAAGAGAGGTCAATCTTATTCCCTTTGATTCTCATTCTCAGACATCTGAACGCTATAGTGAATTTTATTGCTTCGGTTTTGATCCCAACACAAATGACTTCAAAGTTGTCAAACTCATCCGAACAGGTCATTATCCTCCTATTATTTCATGTGCGGTGGTTTATAATCTTAGTACAAATTCATGGACCTTTATCCATGATTTGCATCATCCTATTTTTTCATGTAGGGGGTCTTGTTATAGTGACAATGTTCTTGTTAATGGTGTTTATCATTGGTTGACTGGCGTTGAAGGTGGTTTTGGTTACATCCTATGCTTTGACTTCTGCAACTATCAATTAAGATAACTCATGGCTCCACTGGATATCTCAAATTTGTTGGTCGATGATTACATTGTTGAGGTTAATGGTTCCCTTGGTTATATTGTACAATATTATAGCCAAGAACTGTTGGAGATTTGGGTTATGAATGAACACAAATGGACAAAAACACACAACATTGTTTGGCCAAAAGAGATTTTTATATTTGGCGTTTGGAAGGATGGAAATCAACTCCTTGGAGTAAAGGACGACGATCAAGAAGATAATCATCCATTGACAATATATAATTTGGATGCTGGGCCGATGCATCAATTTAAAGTTACAGTAAATCGTTATTCTCAAGTTTATAAATATGTGGAAAGCATATTTCCCTTGTCAGCTTAGTTTAGCTAGGATATATAATCTGTTATTGATTTATCAAAATTTTTATAATTTAAATACTAGACTCTTAGCCGTGTGTATTTATTTCGAGTGATTATTTGGATATAAATTTGAGTTTATATTCTGTCTGTCATTTTTGTTTTTATACTTTTCTCTGTTTCATTACCATCTTTTAGTGATTTTATTTGATATTTTTATTTGGGTTCGGTTTGTGCTTATTATGTCAACTCGCGCTGCACGTAGCTAGTTAATAAGCCAATTATTTATTTTCATGATTATGATTTTGCGAAACAAAAAATTTATAAGTTATTGGAACAGAACTTGGGGGAAAATACAATGCTGTTGATATCTTATATTTTAAACATGACTAGCACTTCTAACTGATGTATCATTTTTATCTTAACAATGCAACAAGTTCAAGAGGAGAAAATCAATGACTTTATCAGTTTAGTCTAATTTTGTTTAATCAAAACCTCCTTAATCACTTTGTCCAAGTTCTTGTATGAACAACCACCAGGCCTAGTGTCCTCCTCTGCCTTCTTCTTCAATTCCGTGATCTTTTGCCTCATCTTCTTTCCTTTCTCTCCCACCATCAATTCATTTACCATTTTCTTCACCTCCTCTCTCTTCACATTGGTATCAATTTCAATCCCAACATCCCATTCATTGCAAATAAATCTACAATTTGTTGGTTGATCAGCAAAGAAAGGCCAACACAACATTGGCAATCAAGGATGGTTCAGCACTTGCTCTTGTTGACACCAACTTGCTATTAGGCCTCTATCTGAAGTTTCATTGACAAACTCAGATGACAAAACCACAGAGCCACCAATGACAAGGTCAGACCTTATGATCCACAAAAAAGGTTTCTTGCTGTTGGCTAAACCCCAAGCAAACTCAAGGATATCATATCTTGGTTATTTCATAAACTATTTTACAAAACTGTTTTACAAACAAAAAAAATCAAAACACTATCAATCGTACCCAGAATCTCAAAAAACATGTAATCCCCTATAATCCATTCCCTGATGTATCACTAATCACCTCACCTATATTAATATACCTGCGTTACGTGGACAGACAGACAGACAAACAATAGTGAGTGACGTGTCTTTGTCACTAAAGACACTGTGCTTTGAATTTGTTGATCAGATCAGATCAGATATCAGATTGACAAAGACACTGTGCTTTGAATTTGTTGATCAGATCAGATCAGATATCAGATCAGATCAGATTTTTTTATTTAATAAAAGAAATAATTTGGGATCGACTCTACAAGACCAGATTTGAAGTTGGTCTCCTTCTTGCAAACGGTTTTGAGAGACGACGCTTTTCCATTCTTTGTTGAGAGAGTAAATGCTTGTACTTGTCATCTCCCACCTCTTCAGTATCAAAGTATGTTCCCTTAAAGATGGATCCAACACCTTCACTTCGACACCCCGAAGCCTTCCTTTACAGCTTTCCCTCTCATGCAAGGTTGCCTTCTCAGCCTCAGTCAAGAAATCCCAACATATTTCTTTTATCGGCATTGATAAACGGTTGTGCTTGGCGCTCACATCTGTCTTGGAGAGATTCTTGCTCATCACAAATTGCATCTCGCTGCCGTTCAGCTCTCTGATATGGTTCTTGAATTCCTCAGGTAGAATCGGTGGTGAGGACTGGGGTGGTGAGGACTATGGTAGTGATGGTGTTGGCGGGAATGGTGTCGGCGGTGATGAAGACGACGATGCATTATTCTTTGTTGTCTTTCTTGATTTTTTATTATTCAGCGACGAGGGAGCAGGGCGCCATTCCTCATCGTCAAGCATTTCGCGCCTTCTTTTCTTTTCTTTCTCTTTCTCTTTCTCTTTTTCTGGCGGCTTTGTCTTTGACGCCTCTCCTTGTTGCAGTTGTTGCTGTTGCTGTTGTTGCTGTTGCAACTCTTTATCCTCTTCTTGGAAACAACTCTTAATCAGAGCCAATTCTTCATCATTATAAAATTGTGGTGCAACGCGCGAAAGAAGTATATCACAAAAGTGAGGCCTAAAGGGTTCTAAAGACATCTTTTGATGCGTCTCCCAATCTGTAATCTTCCCCACCAATTCCCTCATAGTTTTGTTGTCCCTCTGAGTCATGGTGGCAAAGCACAAGTTGAAGAATGGAATCGTGCGTACAAGGTTTCTGTTTCGGCGGTGGGTTTGGAACAGAGCAAGCAAAAGATGGTTGGTTTAAGGTTTACGTAACGGTCAAGTGAGTGAGTGAGTGATGGGCTTCTGTTCAATTTATAGTGATCAGAATTAGAATCTTTCGAGATTGGAGGTAATCTTTTATTTTTTTTTGTTAAATAAGGAGGTAATCTTTTAATATATGTGTAAATCGGTTTATTTATTTTAAATTTTTTTGTATCTTTAAAGATTTAATATCGGTGAAGATAATTAACTTTCAGCTATTTAAAGATTTAATATCGGTAAAGATAATTAACTTTCAAATAAATAGATGTCCAAATAAGTGATTAACTAACACCGTTATTTTCATATCTTTTCTGATTTGATATCAGTAAAGACAATTTCCTTAATAATTTTCAAAAAACATAGATTTCCAAATATATAACTAACTAACTAACGGTTTATTTGATTATATTTTCATATCAACATCAAAGGCAACTTGCTGCACTTCTTGTATCAAAGACAAAACTCACAACAATTTTTGTTTTACACTTGCTCTTGAGACATAACTGTGATGCTGCCAAAAGTCACATAAACAACAGACCTTGGTTCCTTGGATTCAAGCCATTCATGACATTCACTATCTTCTTTCCAAAGATTGGAACCTATTGACGACAAGTGGTTATGTGAACTTTGATTCAAAAATGAAGGGAAAGGGCCGATGGTATAAAGAGATGGGAACATAGAGGAGAGAGCATTCATTGCCTCACTCTCAAGTTCATATGAAGTATTAAAAACAATAGCAGAGGCTTTATGAACTCTCTCGGCCATTTCAATCACAAAGTCAGGCAGGTCCTTCAGCCTAAGGTTTTGAATGCCTGGAATCCAATCTACTTTGGTGTCCAAATACCCATTTGTCAAATAACTCTCATCTGCATATCATATTTCAAACACCAATAGCTTCAAGCTCCATATATGAATGAATACATATAAACTAGAACATTTGTAATCCTTATGTAGTATTGGGGACTCTGCCACAGCCACTTAAATTATAACACATGGACTCAATTAACTGTATTTATTGGTATTTGACATTAAAAAAAATTCATATGTTGAATAGGGGCTAAACTATTCAACCCCTAATGAGAGAAAAATACTCCCTCGTTGTACACATTTGACTCACACAGGAGCGGTGCCTCACTCACCAATGGTGCCCACAAGAATAAAAATTATTAAACTCAAACTTGACTCATAAGAAACTGCATTTTATTTTATAAACTGGTTATTTATCAAACCATAAAAATAATTGGTTATCCATAACCAAACTATTTTACAATTAAAGGACAAATAAGTATTATCTTTTATCCTTAGCATTAAAATGTGAAAATTACATAAATATGAATCATTTTTAAATATGACATTATTAGAAAAGTCTCAAATACTAACAGAATTTACCAAAGAAAAATATTTCGTCAAAATTTTTAACAAAAATCATCTTACGTAGAAAATAGGGACGAAATATTTTTTCGTCGAAACTAGAAACAGAACAAGATTTTGTCATAATCACTGACATAAATTTTTGAGAGAAAATATTTCGGTCAAAATTCTTGATAGAATCTAAATTTCGTCGAAATTTTCGACAGAAACAATTCTGTCAAACTTGCCAACGAAAAATAATTCTGTAAAAAAAATTGACGGAAAATATTTCAATAAAAAAAATTGACAGAAAATAATTTCGTCAAATTTTTTTACGGAAAATAATTTCGTCCCAATTTTCGACGAAAAATATTTCCAACAAAATTTTCAACAAACCACATTTACAGCGAAAATTTTGACCAAAAATATTTACGTAAAAAATTTTAACGAAAAATATTTCAGAAATTTTTTTGACGGAAAATATTTCTATAAAAAATTCTGACTTGTCAAAGTTCTTTACGGAATCTAAATTCCCTCCAATCATTTGCCTCAAATTTTTTGACGAAAATTATTTTTATAATATATTTTGAAGAAAAACATTTTTGTCAAAAATTTTATCGAAATATTGTTCGTCAAAAAAATTTACGAAAATTTTTCATAGAAATGTGTTCCGTTGAAAATTTTGATGGAAATGTTTTTTATCAAAAAACTTGACGGAAATATTTTAATTTGAAAATTTTCGATGAAAATGTGTTTCATTAAAAATTTCGATGGAAATTTTTTTGTCTAAAAGTTTAACGAAAATGTTTCCGTCAAAAATGTTCGACGAAATTTAAATTCTGTAAAGAAATTTTGATAAATTTTTTTTTTATCAAATTGAAAGTGGTCCTACGACCTTTTTATTAAACAAGTTTTTTCAAAGTCCAAGTCTGGCCTATTTTACGAAATATACTAGGTAAGGTCCGGCCTGACGTAGGCCGAGCCGTAGGCCTCTGTAGACCGACCTGGCCCAGTTTCACCCCTAACGGTAACACATTATTTCACTTGGGGACGATGGCTTCCCCTTTCACTTTTCAAAACCAAATA